CCACCTATGCAAAGCGTATGTTACTCCCACGAGTAAAACTTGGCGGACCACACAGGACCCTGCGAAACTTGGCCATATCCTGCCAGGTTCTAGCCTCCACCCCTTAAGCCTGGCCAGCAGAACTCAGAATCAGGGATAGTCTCACCATAACAGAAAAATCCTTCCTCTCCTGACATCCTCATCCCCAGAGCAGAGAGAAATGAAGGTGATAGAATTAAGGTTGCTGCTGAACTGTCCTGAAGAAAAAGGAATTAGCCTGGGTTGAGCCATAAACCTGAGGTAAGCACAGGACCCCTTCTAACAGGAGACAGAGGAAGGCCGGGAGAGAAGGATGGCAGCATACGTGATGAGGCCCAACACTGCCAACCTTAACTAGGAAACAGTGGGGCCACAAGCCAGAGAACGGAAGAAAACAGCTCTCCCTTCGAGGGTCCAGAGGGAACGCAACACCTTGATGCTGGCTCCATTAGACTGTTTGGGGATCAGACTTCAAGAAGTGTAAGAAAATTTTCCATTGTTTTAGGTCCCTGGGTTTTGATAATTTGCTATGGGTGGAACAGGGAATTAATACACTTAGGTTACTGGAGCAGGCTTGTCTATGGAGAGGAACAGAAAGGCGTGAATGAGCCAGGCAGGCTGGCGGAGAGGAGCTGAGAAAGCCACAGGTGCCGCAGCTGAAGGATCAGGTCCCTCAGCGTCAGGGCAGAGCAGAGGAGGCTCCTGCCTTACCCCTGCAGCTTGCTCCAGACGTCCCTTCTGGTTCCAGACATCCCTTCTGTCCCTCGTCCTCAGCTACCACCTCCTCAAGAGACCAAAACTTCTCATTTCAGTGTATAACTCAATGGCAAGGCTTCTAGAAGTTATGTTTCCCAATCCTTGACTACTAGTGACTACTAGAGTGCCCAGGACCACGGGGACCGCGGGGACCGCGGGGACCGGCCATGCTCCTTTGTTCACACTGCTCTGACAGGCCTCCTGTCTATCAGCTTCAGTATCCGCTACAGCCTGGGGAAGACGAGGGCACTGTCAGGCCTGCTGGCACTTGGTCTACAGCTCCAAAGCGGGAGCCAAGTGAGGGGCTGGGGAGGGAGTCCCTGATCCCTTGACTGATTCTCAAAGATGCTTGCCCTGTTTTCAGACTCACTGAAGCCAAAGGGCAGCGAACTCCCTTCCCTGCAGCCTGGGGTATTTAAGAGTTCCAAATGCCATGTCAATATCTGTTAGGTTGCACAAATATCTTCAGGCAGGCGTCTGATACTTACTCACCGATCAAGACACTATGGAATCTTTGGTGCAAAACTTTTGGCATTTGCTGAGACTTGATGAAAATAGAAACTGAAAACTGTCTCCACCTTAAGCTGATACAATATGCGGGCTTTGCTCCCTTCAATGTAAGCAATCTGCAAAGGGCTGCAGGAAAGGAGTCTGCAAACACCTCAGAGGAGCTGGATGCCGTGTTCTGCCGGACATGAGAACGTCCTGGAGCAGGAGAGGCAGATAACACACAGTAACAGCATCAGGGCCAGGAAGCAGGGCTTGCCAACAAGCTGCCACTCAACACAGAACACGCTGGGCCCGTTTTTTTCACATCCCAAAGTTCAACTGCCTGAGTGTACCCTGGAGGCAGTCTCCCTTCTGTGTGTCCTGAAAGCAAATGTTATAAATGGAAGGCTCTACTCATATGTGGAAATCAGTGACAGCCAAGCGATTCCTAGAGCCCATGGAGGCAGAGAGCTATGGGGTTTCCAGTTTCCCTGCAGATTGCCCTGCAGGCCCATGGCAAGTACGGAAGACTGATTCACGTAGTGAAACCATCCATCCCAGTGTGGCCACCTCAGAGCTGGGAAACTAGATAACAGCTCCCCCAGAGTCATGTCAACTGTTTTCTCAGAACATGCCAACAGCCCCACCCCCCCACGGCTGTGATAACTGGATCCCATCAAGTAAATACCTCATGGACTTGGAAACCTGAGAGGTTAAGCGGCAGAAATCTGAACAAATGTAAGATCGAAGCCCTCAAACAGATCACAGAGTAGTCACGTCCTGGTCCCTGGAACCTGAAGTGTGGGGCTCCTTATGTGAAACCTGTGAGTGCCAAGACAAGGTGGCAGACGTGAAGAAGTTGGGACCTTGAGCTGTGAATGACCGGGATTGCCCACACGGGCCATGAGTGCCCTTATATGAAAGAAGGGTGATGTAGAGACTTGGCCTTGGGATGATGCAGCTCCAGCAAGGACCAAGCTGGACGAGTTGAGGGACAGCCACTCCAGGGCTTCCCAGGGAGGGGACTGTGACAGCACCAGCGTTTTGGCCCGGTGATCCTGACTTCAGACTCATTACAGAGCTGTGAGACAATGTTCCCACTATCCTGAGCACTGCGTTTCGGATTTTCTTCTACTTGTCACAGGAAATTAAAACTCAGGTTTATCTGCTTTGCCCTGACACCGTCCCCTAGCCAACACTCACAGAAAGTACCTAGAGCCTGCTTGGTGCTATGATGACACCCAAGGTTAAGAAGGTTCCAGTGAGAGCAGTGGGCACCACATAGCCCGTGGAACACAAAACACTGGCCCCAGGTGGGAGCATCCTGGAAGCTTGTGGGCAGTGACGCTTATGCTCAGACCTGAAGAGTGAGGCTGGATCGCAACAGGCCAAGGTGGGACGTGGTCCAGCCAAGGATACAGAATGAAGATGGGTGACTCAGGACAGGGAGGGCTGGAATAGGGGCCCACCAAGCTAGCTAGGGCCAGCCCTTGACAATGCATGGGGGGCTGGCCAGACCACTGTTCTGCTGAAAGGCGAGGGCCTCTGTGCTGGCGATGTAAGCCATCTAAGAAACAGATTTGGAGACAACATAGAAACAGGACATGACAGTGGCCAGGACACTGAGGAGCAAGAACTAAGCTGTCTTGATCTGGCATTAAGTGCTGTGAGTGTGGGACAAGAGAAAGCTCGGAGCCAGTCAGGAGGAGGAAGGGGAGGTGAAGGGGCTGGAAGCAGGGGGAGAGATACGGAGCAGGAAGAATTCAGGGTCCTTGAGCAGCACGCCCCCAACCATAGTTCTTACTTTCTCCTCTTCAGTTCTGTGCACTTGCCCTCTGTGGTGAAGGACTGAATCCTGGAGGCCCTGTATTCCCATTGCAACAGATGGGACACTGTGCCCTTGTATGGTCCTGTGACTCCTGCTCCCATCCCTACTAGATGAGAAGCTACCATCCCGGTGGGGCCTCTGCCATCCCATAGCCAGGTATGTGGGGCCTGGGAGTCGGGGCTGGAGGAATGACAGGATCCAAGGGTTGTTCTCTTTGGATAAACCAGACGAGGTTCGGCTGCTTCTCTCAACTAGCTCTCTGGGAGAAGGGGAGGCTCTCTGGCAGGGCCATCAATGTGGTCTCTCTTTCACCAGCTCTAACTGGGACCAGGACCCAGGGTTACTACAATCCCCTTCTGAAAAGCTAGAGTTGGGGACTTAGAGCACCCCTCTGCTAAGGGCCAAGCTCATTCGCAGCTCCATGCAGTCCGCTAACTTCTTTGGATCCCAGCCACTTAGAGAAATGGGGTGACACCCGCGAGCCAGCCCATCTGACAGAGCTGTTCCTTGTGAGCACAGAGAAAGAAGTCTGCCTGTTGGTATAGAAGTGCTACACAAAGGTGAAGAGCCGTTCTTGAATGTGGTCTGTGGTCTCAATGACTAGAGGCTGGCAGATGAGGAGCCCAAGGGTGTGGTGGTGGCAGTGTGTGCCCACCACCTCTGTTAGTCTGGGCACTGCATTTTTCCAGTGTCTGCCATAGGGCCATCCTTGCAGCAGGAAAGGCGAAGCTTTTGGGTACCACCTGGCAGGCCTCCCCGGTGTTGGCAAGGCCCAGGACAAGAGTGCTCACCGAGGCCATTTCCCATATGTCTCATATTTAAAAGGCATAAATCAAGCTAACAAACCGTTAAATGAAATATGCTCCAACCTCCTACCTTGTTAAATACACGGCGCACACAACTAGGCTAGGATGGGATTTCCAATTCCAGGGCTCCTTGATATTCTCTGCCGGGGTGTGCGGTGTGGGAAACCCCACTTACCTGTGCCCTAAACTGCTCCACTTGTTGGCATGTATGTGTACACACACACACACACACACACACACACACACACGCACACGCACACGCACACACACACGCACATGCACACGTGCACACACACACCTGTGAATCCTCCTATACCTTACACTCAAGCTCATTCACGTTCCCACCAAGAGCTCACCATTAGGGGTTCACAAACAGGCCATTAGGGCACCTTCAAGAGGACAGCCCTGAGGTAGAGCCAGAAGAAACTTAGCTCCACCCAGGTGGGCCTCCAGAGTGGAGAAAGGCGCCCCTTGGCTCTGTGGACTCATCCTGGTCCACGGGATGGACAGAGAGAGGGAAACAGAGGACATCCTTTAAGGAATGGAGATCTCTGTTCTTGGTGTCAATGACACTTCACTGGTACAGGGACAGAGTTTAAGGTTTTAATGGAGTTCAGTATGGTCCAAGTGGCAAACTCAGTCGTCAACAACCTACCGGTCGTGAAAACACACTGTGCTCACGCTCAAGGGATAAGGCCACCAAGTGCACGCACCTTGGGGGGCTTCTATATGGTTCCTGGTACACAGACTGAGGAATAAAGAAGTTGGAGGAGGGAAGGAAGGCTAGGGGCATACCCCAACTGGCTGGCCCCGCACTCTTGGCCCTGCACCCCCATGGGTTCTGGTGCCCAGTGTGGCTGACCAGGGACTTTTTAAGTGTCAGACAAGGACCCAGCCTCTGACATCCTCCCCAGTGAAGCCACTGCTAGCCTGGCCCCACTGCAGACCCTGCTGCGGAAGAGGCTGAGTCGACCTCTGCTGATTTATTCAGGTTGATTTCTCTGAAGCATGGAGGTCACCTGGTCTGCTTTGGGGCAGAGAGTGCCCTCCCACAGCAACCCCGTCTGCTGCCTGCTGTGGAGATGAGGACAGTGCAAACTCACCAGGCACCATCCCTGTCAGCGTTGGTGCGGAGTAGCTGCCCTGTCCAGCGGGGGGAACGTGCGGAGGGTACCCGGGGAGGGTCGTGCTTGCCAAGTCGCGGCCTGAAGAATCAAAGCAACAGATCACAGGGTGAGCATCTCTGCAGACTGCTGCCCGGCCCCAGCTCCCTGGACATCCTACACATTCGTCACTTCTGGATGCTGAACACCAGCATGCTCTACTCCCCATGACTCACACACACACACACACACACACACACACACACACACACACACACACACACACACACTCCACACCAGCTCTCCTGGCTCTACTTGGCGAGGAACAAGCTAGAACTGTGGTCTATCTCTGAGAAATCAGAACCTCTCAGGAAGGGGGACAATGACCGTGCCACATAGCGGGCTGTGTACTCCCCAAGTGTGACTTAGACTGCTCCATCTCCACCCTGTGGCTTCCCATTGGTTCTCAGCATACAGTGCCCCCCCCCCTCCAGCCACATCCAGTCGCCCACCGTGGCCAGGCTCACACATCTCCCTCCTCCATTCCCAACAGGCTGTGGGGGGGAGCAGCTCCTTCCTATCTTCCAGCTCCATATCTGGCCGTGTATTGCATTTTCCCTCCCAAGACCCAGAGCTGTTCCTTTATTCAGTGAACATGCAGGGCACTTCTCCCAACACCAATACTGCCCCACTGCTGGCACGTGGAGGTGAGGGCCCTGACTCTCAAGTGGGGACTCCCAGCTATTCGAGGACAGGGGTGGCTTCATGTCCATCACCATGGCCCGGCTGGAGAGGTGGGAATCCATTAAGAGTCTTTCACGCTGCTCAAGAATCAGCGCAAGAAGAGCACTGAGAACTCTCCTTGGCCAGCCCAAGCTGACATTCTGGGGATGACAAAACAGACCTTAAATGGAAAAAAGGAGAGAGAGTGGCTTGGGTCTCACAGGGACCCATGGCAGAGCAGGCATCTTGTGGCACATAGCGGCATTTTATGAGTAAGTCCACAGGGTAACCAAACATCCAAGAGGCTTGTGGAAAGGAATCTCAAGGTAGCAGAATGCTGTTAGCAAGGAAAGAACCAACCGTGTCCCTGTCTGTGTCCCCTCAGGAAGGAGCAGGGCCTGTGGCCCTTCCAACCCTCCTGTAGCTTATATACGACAGGGAGACCTTGAGAAAGCACTCCCCTTACTGGACCCTGAAGGACGACGCTGTCCTAGGGGAGAGAACGGACAGCTAACCCTGAAAAGCAAAGTGATGGGAAACGGGAAGTGGAAGAAAGGATGCAGATTTGGGACTAGGGTGTGGACACTGAGGACAGGGAGGGGGCGGGGAGTCAGAAGGGGCCCGTGGGCTGGACAGTGAGTGACTGCTGATCGTGCAGAGCCAAGATGAGTGGCAGAGCGCTTGTCAATCTTTCCTACAATCCAGCAGTACACAAGTAGGGGCTCTGAGCCCAGCCCCGCCAAGAGGTGGCCAGAGGAGGGCCATCACTGACCAATGTCCCCCCAAAGAACAGAATCCAGTATGTAGTGTGAGAACATGAACATGCCCTCCACAGCCCTTCTAGTGCCATCCGTCAGTGACCACCCTGGAAGCTGCCTCAACTCCCAGTCTGCCAACCTTCCAGAACTTCAAGAACTCCTGACAATCCCCAAAAGAAGTCCCCTTCCTGTCCCAGCTCATCACCTCCCTGACTTTGGGCTGGGCACCCTGACTCACGTGTCTTTACATGAGATGTTGGAGTTGAGCCAACACCCCAGGATTAATTCTGGGAGTCCCTCATCCTCGGCACAAATTGCACCCAGGCAAGCCTCTCAAGAAGGGCCAAGCCGAAACTGAAAGCTCCAGCTTGCAGGACCGGAGGCGATGGAGGAGGTTTGCCCTATTAGGCTTCCCGTGCCTCTCTGCAAAGTTGGAGCTCCAAGTCAAGTCTTTGTACCCCCAGGTCAGAAGGGCACAGGGCTAAATCATTTTAGTGAAAGAAGCCATTCTGCTGAAGAAGCAAGGGTCTTGGGGGTCCACGCAGCCCCCTCCACTCCTGTTCAAGGACAGACTCAAGAGGGGACCCTGGACCAGGCTCTTCTTGCCATTTTGCAGATGGAAAACTGAGGCCATAGAGGAAGGGGATTGACTGGCTTGGGGTCCACAAGGACTGTGGCAGAGCAGACACCTCAGCCCAGTGCCTACCCCAGCCTAAGGCCTTCTCATCCTCAGTCTCCTTCACAGAGTCAGTGACCAGGGATGGGGGTAGCGGAGAACTGTGACGGTGTCTCAGGAAGCGGAATGGGCACCAATTGGACTACTCGGCACAGGGCTGAGATGTCAGTAGCCAGTCTGTGAGACAACCAAAGTCAGTGGCTGCTTTGGTGAGGGGCACCTCTGGCCATCGTGGGAGCATCTCCACCAACTTGGGCAGCATCTCCCCACCTGTCCCTGACCCCAGGTTCCTACCTAATGATGTCAATTGCATGCAAAGAACACTTACAAAGAAATTATGAAACACGAGGCTCTTGCCAAGGTTTTGAAAAGGTTAACGCCTCCAGCCCTCAACACCCCGAGGAGCTGAGGTACTGATATGAGTCCTTTCTTACAGGAGAGGAGATGTCCCCAGTGAACCAGTGTCTATGTCTGTCTGGCTAGCCAATCCATCCACGCCCCTCCCTTGCTATGGGACTATCTGTACTTCTGGTCATGATTCCTGAAGTACCATCTCTCAGCTGGGACACCGTCACCATTACTTATGGGCTCCATCTTCCAGAAGGAAATTTGACTACATAGATTTTTTTAATAGTGAACATGTTTTTCTGAGGGTAAAGACAAAAGAGGGGTGCCAGACATGTCTTCTGGAATATGGAGGGTGTGTGGTGAGAACCACCTAGTACAGTTGCTCATGCACTCCCCAGCTGCCCGAGATGGAGACCAGGGCCCAGAAAAGGGCAGGGTGTGCCCATGGAAACTCAGAGAATCTGAGCAAGGCTTGGCCTGGACTCTGGGGCACCTGCCTCCTGGGATCCGGCTCATTCTTCAACCAGTGTCTGCCCTTTGGGTCATGCTTGGTCAACAGTTTTTGCTGCTGGTACATACACTTTAAAACCTTGATCCTTCAAGCAAAGGTTCAGGAAATCAGAACCTTGGCAAAGAGCTCGACTCAGAAGGGCCGGATGAAAAAGCAATAAAAGAATCTCAGGAAGGAGGAAAGAGTCAACACGTAAAAGGGGAAACAAAAAGACAGGCACAACCCTAAGTACAACTGGGAGTCAGTATTTGAAAATGAAGTGACATCTTTAGCCAGACCACCCTGAACGGAAAAAAGAGTAAGCTCCTCACACCACTCCTCACACCACTCCTCACACCACTCCTCACACCACTCCTCACAGTACTCAGAAGAACAAACTCCATGTGCTTCTGAGGCAAAACTCAGAGCTACACATAGCCGAGAGAGCGAGTGAGGTCCCCTCCAGGCTAGATGTGTGGAGAGGCAGGTAATGATGACTCAAACTCAGAGGTGCTCATGCTGCCTTAACATAACTCAGAATGGACCAAAGGCCTAAGTGTAGTCACTCAAACTAAGGAACCCTCAGAAGAAACAATTAACATCCACGGCCTTGGATTAGGCCAGGCTTTCTTAAAAAATCACACAAATGATTAAAAAAATGAGCAAATTAAAGTTTAAAATTTTTATGCTTTAAAAGACACCAATAAGAAAATAAGGATAAGCTGGGGGTTGTGGTGCACACCTTTAATCCCAGCACTCAGGAGGCAGAGATAGGTGAATCTCTGTGAGTTCAAGTCCAGCCTGGTCTACAGAGCGAGTTCCGGGACAGACAGGGCCACATAGTAAGACCTGTCTAAAAATTTTTTTTTTGTTAAAAAAGTTTTAAAAGGAGAAGAAAATGAAGATGACTCATAGCATGGGAGAAAATATTTGCAAATCAAGTTTCTCATAAAAGGCTTCATCTAGAATATATTAAAAAGTCGGAAATTAATAAAAAAGAGAGACAAACAAACCAGTTTCAAATGAGCAAAGGACGTTCATAGGCACGTGGACAAAAAGGAGCAAATGGAAGCCCAGATTAAGCCCAGACTTAGCTCAGCACCGTTGGCCATTAGGGAAATGCAAATCAAAGCCGTGGTGACACAGTGCTTCTCCCCGACCGCCACGGTGGCATTGAAAAGACAGAATATAATCTTCCGTAGGTGAAGAGAACTGGATTTCTCATCTCCCGCTGGAGGGAATGTGAAAGGGTGTGTGTACTTCAGGAAGTCTGGACACAGAGTTCCCACGTGACCCAGCAATTCCCCTCCAGTTGTGTCACCAAGAGAAATGGGACCAACTGTCCCTGGGAAAACCTGTGTGTGAGGGTTCAAAGTAGCATTATTTGTGATAATAGCCAGACAATGGAGACTGCTCATATACCCGCCAGCTGACGAGCGAAGAAAACCCAAGGTCAGATTCCAAAAGTCACAGAAAGTCTTGGAGGGACAAAGAAGGAGTGTGAATGTGGATGAACAATTGAAGGGGAGGTGTGAGCCGGTTTGGGGTGCACCTCGGGGAGAGGGCAGGGGTGGGCAAAGACGAGCCATAGCTGACCTGAGGGCCACGGCTGCCAGAGGGCAGCCTTACCTCCAGGGAGGAGATGCTGGGTCAGCTCTGTGAGGGTCAGACCTGAAGAGCCAGGAAGCAAACCCCCCACCCCCTACCCCCCACTCCACCACCCCCTTAACCACTCCCTTTCACACACCTTCCCCAGTTACCTCTAGAGCCAAATCTAGACCTTAGAATGTGGCAGGGAGGGGTCCAGTCTGGGAGACACACAGGCCTGAGTTCAAATCTTACCTCTACTACTTACTACTTGTGTGATTTTTAGGAAAGTAATAAAATTATCTGAGTCTCTTTCTATAATTGGAAAAAGTTCTTTTAGGGGATGAAACAATGGCACTCTTTATGACTGTTTTCTTTTTTTTTTTTTTTTTTTTTGGTTTTTCGAGACAGGGTTTCTCTGTGTAGCTTTGCGCCTTTTCCTGGAACTCACTTGGTAGCCCAGGCTGGCCTTGAACTCACAGAGATCCACCTGGCTCTGCCTCCCGAGTGCTGGGATTAA